CAGAGACCTGATTAGTTTTAATTGGATATTAATTACCTGATTTGAATAATGTTCCACTGATATATAAAGAACCAAGAATTGGATTTTAATGAAACTTTTAAAGAGAACTATGCAGAGACCCAATTAGTTTTTGGTAAATATTTATGCTATTAATCACCTAATTAACATAATTAATTAACACTGATATCTCAATTACTGATCATCATATTTGAATAAAATTTGGTACATAAATGCTCTAGGACAATAGGCAGGCCTGATTAATTTTGGGTTAAAATTTGTTCATATTAATTCTCTAGTTAGCATAATAATTCATAATTTTTTTGTTCTGTTCTGTTCATATTAGTTACCTGATTTACATAATTAGTTTTCAGCTTTTCCATCAATATCTCATGTACAAGTAATTTTGTATTAATTTTTAATGTGTCTTCAATACTTTCAGCACACAGGAGTTCTTTCTAAGCTTTCTTTGATTCATATGTGTAGATGCTCTAATAGAAGCCGCATCCTATCTGTTGCATTGTACCATTTTAATAGAAGCCGCAGCGTTTAATACAGATTTTACAGTAGTTGCCCAGAACAACAACTTCTTGTATTCATTTATGTTTTACAAATTGAAAATGAAAACCCTTTGAATATGTTAGAAAATTCACAAATGATATCAATGTTATGAATGTACATCAAAATGTATTTTTTATTGAATCAACAATCATATAATATACCCCGATATATTTTTTCAAGACTAAATCCCTTTTAATTCATGAGAGTCAAACTTTTGCTTGTCTTTGCAAAATGGTAAAATTTTGTAGCAGTGAAAATTTGATTGGAGTCCTATGACAGCAACTTTTGCAAAATTTTGTCTTCGTGAATGACATAAAATTATCAAATTGCAAAAATTATGCATTTTGAATACGTCAGTTGCTATGTCACTGAAAGGCATGTGTGCTCATTATAGGCATAGATAATGATTAACTTTTGAGCCAATCACCATTGAATATATTTGAATTTTAATGAAAAGCTGATCATTTATAAGCCAAGCCCTATCTTCAAAATTCAAATTTGTCAACAACTAACAATATTTTTATTACATGTTAATTTCATTTTATCTGATACAATGTAGTGAATAAGTCATTCTCACTAACCTTTTGGTTTTATTGTTTCATTACAGTTGGTTTGCGGCACCTTACAAAGTTAACACTTAGTCACAACCGAATTGTAGGTAAGATAATGAAAGGCAGAGAAATGTAAGGGCAATCAACTTGCATGATATTGCAAAGAGTCACAGTGAGGCATATTTTGTGTTTGGGCGATTTGTAAAGTTGATTTGTCACAGTGGAATGTGTTCATTTGGTATTTCTGGTGATGCTATCATCACCATAGCAATGATAATTTGTTTCTAATAATCTTCATTTTATTATTTGTAGTTGTTCCTCCAAGTATAGCAGAACTACAAGGTCTGGAATCATTGAATCTATTTAATAATCACATTGAGGAAATTCCAATCAACTTAAGTACTCTTCCTAATCTAAAGATCCTTAACTTGGCGTAAGTAAATAATATAGTTACATTTGTATATGCATGCATTAAAGGGGCACCTTCCAGTTAAGTCTAATCTTACAACAATTTTACTTTCTGGATTAAAATAAACAATGGATAACAAAAGATAGATTAACATTGTAAACAACATAAACAATAGTGTCCCATGATTCTTTGGTGCAATCAATCCATGGGATTGAGCGGTT